AGGGTTTTAATTAACACTTCTTTGCCTGTGATATAAGTTTCTGCTTTTTTTTTTTAAACATTTACTTGTTGTGCTATTGTAAGTCTCATAGGTGCCCGGCTCGCTATCTCAGTTGGTTAAAACCCTCTGCGCGGCGACCTGGTGACGAACTCTTTGTGGTCCGGGTTCACGCCCGCGGTAGGCAGGAAAGCCACATTTCTCCCAGATTTACGGTATCTGTCATGGAATCAAGGCCGAAGGGTTGCGATCTCCATAGTACCGAGCCAAAGGGTTGCGATATCCAAAGTACCGAGCCAAAGGGTTGCGATATCCATACTACCGAGCCAATTGGTTTACAACTCATGGTTTCTGGATACTTTAAAAAAAAAATGTCACTTAGTTTGGCGCAGTCTATTTCTCCATCCCGTTCTGTCTTGTGCACTCACTACGATATCATGGATGCAGTGTGCACTCACTACGATATCATGGATGCAGTATGCACTCACTACGATATCATAATGCAGTGTGTACTCACTACGATATCATGAATGCACTGTGCACTCACTACGATATCATGAATGCACTGTGCACTCACTACGATATCATGAATGCAGTATGCACTCACTACGATATCATGAATGCAGTATGCACTTACTACGATATCATGAATGCAGTGTGCACTCACTACGATATCATGAATGCAGTATGCACTCACTACAATATCATGAATGCAGTATGCACTCACTACGATATCATAATGCAGTGTGCACTCACTACGATATCATAATGCAGTGTGTACTCACTACGATATCATAATGCAGTGTGCACTCACTACGATATCATAGATGCAGTGTACACTCACTACGATATCATGGATGCAGTGTGCACTCACTACGATATCATGAATGCACTGTGCACTCACTACGATATCATGAATGCAGTGTGCACTCACTACGATATCATGAATGCAGTATGCACTCACTACGATATCATGAATGCAGTATGCACTCACTACGATATCATGAATGCAGTATGCACTCACTACGATATCATAGATGCAGTGTGCACTCACTACGATATCATGAATGCAGTGTGTACTCACTACGATATCATAATGCAGTGTGCACTCACTACGATATCATAATGCAGTGTGCACTCACTACGATATCATAATGCAGTATGCACTCACTGCGATATCATAATGCAGTGTGTACTCACTACGATATCATGGATGCAGCGTACACTCACTACGATATCATGAATGCAGTATGTACTCACTACGATATCATAATGCAGTGTGCACTCACTACGATATCATAATGCAGTATGCACTCACTACGATATCATAATGCAGTGTGTACTCACTACGATATCATGGATGCAGCGTACACTCACTACGATATCATGAATGCAGTATGTACTCACTACGATATCATAATGCAGTGTGCACTCACTACGATATCATAGATGCAGTGTGCACTCACTACAATGTCATAATGCAGTGTGTACTCACTACGATATCATAGATGCAGTGTGCACTCACTACGATATCATGGATGCAGTGTGTACTCACTACGATATCATAATGCAGTGTGCACTCACTACGATATCATAATGCAGTATGCACTCACTACGATATCATAGATGCAGTGTGCACTCACTACGATATCATGGATGCAGTGTGCACTCACTACGATATCATGAATGCAGTATGCACTCACTACGATATCATAATGCAGTGTGCACACACTACGATATCATGAATGCAGTTTGCACTCACTACGATATCATGGATGCGGTGTGCACTCACTACGATATCATGAATGCAGTTTGCACTCACTACGATATCATGGATGCAGTATACACTCACTACGATATCATAATGCAGTGTGTACTCACTACGATATCATGAATGCAGTATGCACTCACTACGATATCATGGATGCAGTATGCACTCACTACGATATCATAATGCAGTGTGCACTCACTACGATATCATAATGCAGTATGCACTCACTACAATATCATAATGCAGTGTGCACTCACTACGATATCATGAATACAGTGTGCACTCACTACGATATCATGAATGCAGTATACACTCACTACGATATCATGGATGCAGTATGCACTCACTACGATATCATGAATGCAGTGTGCACTAACTAAGATATCATAATGCAGTATGCACTCACTACAATATCATAATGCAGTGTGCACTCACTACGATATCATAGATGCAGTGTGTACTCACTACGATATCATGGATGCAGTATGCACTCACTACGATATCATAATGCAGTGTGTACTCACTACGATATCATGGATGCAGTATGCACTCACTACAATATCATAATGCAGTGTGCACTCACTACGATATCATAATGCAGTGTGTACTCACTACGATATCATGGATGCAGCGTACACTCACTACAATATCATAGATGGAGTGTGCACTCACTACGATATCATGGATGCAGTGTGCACTCACTACGATATCATGGATGCAGTATGCACTCACTACGATATCATGAATGCAGTGTGCACTAACTAAGATATCATGGATGCAGCGTACACTCACTACGATATCATAGATACAGTGTGCACTCACTACGATATCATGGATGCAGTGCCTGAGCTAAGTGAGCTAATTATAAGCTTTTTTAATATATTTTAATTGTTTTCTCACAAAAATTGTCATAATATTTTCGAAATTTTTCTTATGCTTTTATTTATTCTAAATTCTTGAGATTCTTCATCATCATGTGTCCTGCCAACTGGCGTAGGCGCTCATGCGTTTCCACAGATCACGATCCCTGTTTGCCAGGAACAGCTCTCTTGATGATATCCCTCCATGCTATCGTTTCAGCCTATCCAGCATCATCTCTCTTGGTCTGCCTCTACCCCTTTTTCCACTGATCTTTCCAGTTGTCACAATGTTCTCCAATGTCTCTCTTCTCATTATATGCCCAAAAGAACAGTGTTTGTCTCTTTCTTATTGTTGTATATAGAGATCTACTTTTTTTTTAGCTTCTTTCAAGCGATCGTTGTTAATTACTCTGGCCCTCCAGGGTGTTCGTTACATTCGTCTCAAAAACCACATCTCTATTGCTTCCAAATTCTTTCCAATTTGTTCACTGACATTTCAAGATTCGCTGCTATACAGCAGAACAGGTCCTATTTAACATAATCGCACCCTCTTTTCTTGAGATTCATCATCATCATGTAACAGGTCCTTTGAAGAACGTCGCTCTCATTACAGTCTGTCTGAAAGAAACTTGGTCTCTCACCAGTTCTCCCGCATCATGAACTTTCATACTCAAGGAGTCACTTAAATCATGTGCCCATCTTCATGTCGGTCGGCCCCTGTCCCTCCTTCCTGGTACCATGCCTTCTGCGATAATTTTTTCCAATCCGTTGTGGCGCTTGATATGACCAAAATATTTCAGCTATCGAGAAAGGATGCTGTTTATAAGCCAATCTTCCTTGATGTTCAGATCTTTTAAGATGTCAGTATTTCTCATCTTCTTTGACCAAGATATTCTGAGAATCTTTCTATAGCATTCCAGCTCAAAGGCCCCTATTCTCTTTCTGAGATTAGCTTGTGTAATTTAAAACAGAAAGGGCACACTCTTAATTCGGTGCTGCATAGATGAAATCCTGTCTCGTATCTTTGGCTTCTCTCTTCAACGTTCCCCTAATGGTTTCTCTTGGACGTCTACACTTCCTCAATCTCTTTATTTCTTATTTCAGTGTCTGTTTGATGATTCTCCTTTCGTCTGTTCTCAGAATGTGTCCAATATATAGCCAAATTCTCTGCCTTAAAGACGCTAAGACGAACATTGATGAGAGAAGCCAAAGTTGCAGGACTGGATTCAATGCATGAGATCTAAAAGACTGTACAGGACAGAACGGAATTGGGACATAAAATCGAGCCCTACTTGACATATAATTGCACAACAGGACAATGACTGGAATAACCGGCATTATTTTACCATCATTTAAAAACATAAACACAAAATGTATGCATGACAAGCTAGATGTTATGAGGGCCCTTTGGGAGCGAGCATTCCAACGTATTGCGATTGAAACCCACTGCTGGCTGCGTGGAGTTTTATCATGGTATGGGGCGTAGCAGGTCGATCCAGTCTAAAATGTGTACCATGATGTATGTCCGGGGAGGGGGAGACGTCTGGCGTAATGCTGACCACATTACCCACCTAGTGTCGAATGGTCAGTAAAAATATGGGTGCTCTTACCATTGGCCCAATTCGCCTAAAGGCGTAAAAGGGATATTTACTTTACTTTGGGAGCAAGCGAAGAGTGCAGAGCACAAATAGATCATTACGGTCTGAGGAAAATGGCGCTGCGGGGAGTTACCAGGAGATCTAGCCGACGCTCAACACTCAAGGGAAGGGGGAGTTGGATGTACAATCAGTTACTGGTACCATCGGAATTGAAACTCTTTGTTTACTGTTGAAGATGGGAGCGGAGCGCATATGGGAGTGTCGGGGGGGGGGGGGGGGGGGTGTAGGGGATGATGTCGATTCTTTCTTAAACATTCAACGAAGAATGAGATAACAGAGCACAACGGACACAAAAACCTGCTATAAACCCGGATGAGACTAGAAGAAACATCTGTGCTGTTGGAAGTGTCCTCTTGTGGCCACTCAAAAACAATAATAGCTCACAAAACATTTAAGCGTTGAATTAGGCTCTTGAGGTTTTGCAAGTTCTCAGACAAAAATTTTTGACACAGTATCTGTTGTAACAACAAACTAAAAACTGGACATAAAGTGCGTAAATATTCAAGTTTGGCTTTTACTGTTGGTGACATTTTCTCAATACGCACACTTGAGACCTCTCGACCGTGGATAAAATGCCAGCTTGCCTTCTTAATTATCACTGGGTGATGTGAAGCAAGGATCCAGTTTGGTAGCAGCGTCAACTAGCCAGATTGTATCCAGAGTTGAGATCATTGCTAAAATCGGTGTAACAGTTCGCTTGTTGCTGCAGCCATCATGACACAGTTTGTGGCTTTTGCTTTCTGCTTGTGCCTGTCCTCTGTGAGCGCAAGCTGGTTTCGATCTGATCCTCCGGTTGCCACATCAGACGGCAGAGGTGAGAAAGTGTATTTTTTATGTTTATTGTTTTTAAATTTTTTGAAAACGTATTCATTCCCAAGTTGCGTTTCATGTACGATAAACTTGTTTTCGTGAATACTAAACATCTCGCATTCCTATGTGTTCTTCTATCTTTCTACTTCTTTCTATGAGTGCCGATCAATACACTTTCTGTTACTTGATTAAACATCTCACAATGTGTTCTGCTAATTTTTTTTTTATTTATTTCAATTCTTCTTCTTCTTCTTGTGCTTCTACCGGTGTTTCTCGTGGCCAAAGGTTTTGCCTTGATTTGTTGTGTTTTAGAAAGTCTTGGAGTACGTGATCTGTTGTTTCAGGTGCTAATCCACATGTACACATGGCTGATTCGCCAGTCTTGAATTTTATATAATGTGACTGCGAAGTCTATTGTGTTCTTCCTATCATACTAAATAAATCTATCATTCTCAGTTGCCTCTTTAAAAGTGTTATGCTTGTGATTTTTTTTTTAATAGATATTATTATTTCTTTCTTTATGCATCTGTTGTGTAAGGTTCTGAAATTTGAAGATTTAAATTAATTTCGCAATTCAAGATTTTAATTGTTTCCCTATCGTAGCTGTTTTATAAAATGGGTCATTAGAACTTTTTAAACCACCACTAATTACTGGCGTCACCGGGGTTAATGAGGGTCAATCATAAGGACCTCAGTCGATGGGCATATAAGGAGTGTACTATGAGAAACAGAACAGAAAGACAAAAACTGTACAATCACCACTTGCGAGACGAGAAACCTGACAAAAGCCGCCAACCTAATCATCTGAGATCGTAAAAAATAAAAAGTTAAGATACAGAGGACGAGCAAGAAGAAAATGGATTGAAGAAGTCGCTGATACCTTGAGACTCAACACCACAGCATACCGGGTAACCGAGCGCGCCCTAGCTCGGATACCGATCTCGTGTTAATGTGTAAAGCCTAACGGACCAAGCAGATTATGGACACAAGAAAAAAAGTCACGTCTGTCACATCTGATAAAATGTGCGTCTTCGTCACCTCTGATCAAATATGCGTATTTCTCACATTTGATCAAATATGTTTGTTTGTCACATCTGATCATCTATGCATGTTTGTCACATTTGATCAAATATGCCTGTTTGTATATCTTATATTTGTCATATCATATAAAATATACCTGTTTGTCTGTTACATCTAATCAACTATGTCCGTTTGTCTGTCACGTATGCTCAATATGTCTGCCTGTCACAACAGATTAAAAATGCCATGTTTGTCTGTCACATGTAATCAAATATGCCCGTTTGTCTGTCACGTCTCATTAAATATGCCCGTTTGTTCTGTCACATTTAATCAACTATGATTGTTTTTCACATCTTATAAAATTTACCTGTCTGTCACATCTGATCAATTATGCCTGTTTGTTTATCACATCTTATCAAATATACCCGTCTGTCTGTCACAGCTGATTAAAATATGCCTGTTTGTCACATCTGATCAAATATGCCCGTTTGTCTGTCCCATCTGATTAACTGTGCCTGTGTGTTCAGCTATCGACCAGTCGTGTCTAGCTTTGGCCGACCAAGGAAGCTGCGACTTCTACTCGTGCTTTGAGAGACGGCTGCCCTGTGGTCGGGACTGGTACATCCTGAAGACTGGCCTTTATTACTGCAACAAAATCGAGAGGCAGAAAGTCAGCTTTTCCCCTGAAGTACGTTTCTATCTATCTATCTATCTATCTATCTATCTATCTATCTATCTATCTATCTATCTATCTATCTATCTATCTATCTATCTATCTATCTATCTATCTATCTATCTATCTATCTATCTATCTATCTATCTATCTATCTATCTATCTATCTATCTATCTATCTATCTATCTATCTATCTATCTATCTATCTATCTATCTATCTATCTATCTATCTATCTATCTATCTATCTATCTATCTATCTATCTATCTATCTATCTATCTATCTATCTATCTATCTATCTATCTATCTATCTATCTATCTATCTATCTATCTATCTATCTATCTATCTATCTATCTATCTATCTATCTATCTATCTATCTATCTATCTATCTATCTATCTCTCTCTCTCTCTCTCTCTCTCTCTCTCTCTCTCTCTCTCTCTGTCTGTCTGTCTGTCTGTCTGTCTGTCTGTCTGTCTGTCTGTCTGTCTGTCTGTCTGTCTGTCTGTCTGTCTGTCTGTCTGTCTGTCTGTCTGTCTGTCTGTCTGTCTGTCTGTCTGTCTGTCTATCTATCTATCTATCTATCTATCTATCTATCTATCTATCTATCTATCTATCTATCTATCTATCTATCTATCTATCTATCTATCTATCTGTCTGTCTGTCTATCTGTCTGTCTATCTGTCTGTCTGTCTGTCTGTCTGTCTGTCTGTCTGTCTGTCTGTCTGTCTGTCTGTCTGTCTGTCGCTCTGTCTGTCTGTCTGTCGCTCTGTCCGTCTGTCTGTCTGTCGCTCTGTCCGTCTGTCGCTCTGTCTGTCTGTTGGTCTGTGAGGCCTAACTTGACAATGTGATATATGTATTTTAGCGAAATGGTTAATTTTTCACTTTATTATATGCTGATTTAACTCTGCACCTACCCACCTGACGGATGCAGCGAAATATGCCCGGCAATAAATTGTGCAATATATTATTTGTGTCCGCATTATTACATTTGCAACGGCAAGAATGTGTTTTTTAATACCTCTATTTATCTGTCAATCTACTGTACTTCAATTGAAGGTTCGCCAGAAGTAGAGTTGAATGTAATTCAAGTTTTCTAGAAGTTTGAAGTCTGGAGACTGAACAACGGACCAACATCATGGCACACGGGTAGTAGCCCATAAATGCTCCGTTCTTCTTCTAATTCAAGTCTGAGTCCAAAGAAGCTCATCACACTGCACACGCTCTGTAGCACCGTCGAGAATCTTGAAATACATTAGGTAGATTTTTAACTCCAACTTTTGCCTGGGCAGCGCCGTTAGTCTACTCTTTTCAATTTCCAACTGCCAAGGGATTTTTTTACGTGCGCAACAATCCACACAGGCGTCTAATCTCACTACCCAGAGACCGGGGAGGAAAGGTGAGGGAAGGGGGGGGGGGGTTACTAAAAGTACAAGTCAGCGTGGAAAAATCCCAGCCCCTACCGGTTGTTAAACCCGCAACCTCCAACACTCGAGGCGGACACCATGCCTCGAGACCACGCAGCGCCCGCCCCCCCCCCCCCCCCCCCCCTTTTTTTTCCCTTTTTTTTTCCTTTAACAAACGAACAAATGTATCTCTATTTAACGGTGGATTTGATGACTTGCCCCCACCCAATCTCTATTTACCCAGGGTCAACAGTTTCTGTCCAACGCTCAACGATGCTTGACCCAGTCTCTCAAGGACATGTACCAGAGAGACTATGTCGACTGTCACGATCTGGAGCACGATGCCGTGGCCAACATCACCCGCTGCTTTACTGGTGAGTCTGACAGACTGACAGAGATACTGTTCCCCGTGTGGGTTCCAGGGTCCCATTGTGGGAAAAACGTGATAGACCCACTGCCACCCCAAAAAGCATGTCGTAAGATTCGACTAGTTGGATGTTTCCTTCGCATTCGTACTGCATCTGCCTGAGAGGCAAAGGAAACAGTCTGCATACAAATTTCGATCTGTAAAACGGATTTGCACGAAACAAGTCTAAAGTCTAGCGGTGAACGAAAACCAGAACTTTTTGCTGGATTTTACAGCCGGGGAACGCGAAGAAGAAGAAAAAGAAGAGACACTGTCAGACAGACAAACAGACAGACATATGAAATTAGGTAATCACAGTTCTGATTTTAGAGCCAGTAGGTCACCCCATAGCAGATCCAGTCCTGTGCCAACGTAAACCACACAGAATGTCCATCACTGTCCCTTGTGGAACAAACTGACAGTCTCAGTAACGCCAATAGCATGACACAAGCATTCAATGTATACGATAAACGTCAGTAGTGCCAACGCAAACAGCCCGGCACTGGAAATGCAGTTCATCGTTAATGAAAGCAGCAGTTTCAACAGATCAGAAGTGGCACCTGCAATTAACTGTATAGGGTACCAACATTTCTCTGGCAACAGAGATATGAATAAAATGGGAAGCACAGTGATTAACGCATGGACAAGCAGATAGGCAGGTTGGCATAGAGATAAACAGATGAATAGCGATTCAGGCAAGCATACAGACAGACAGATCACGGGGTATCATCATCATCAAGTGCCTTGTCAGCTTGCGTAGGTGCTCATGCATCTTCACAGATCTCTGTCTTTGTAGTTCTGAATCAATTCCACTGATGATGTTCCTCAAAGCAACTGTCTTATGCCAACCACCATAATTTCTCTTGGTCTACCTCTGCCTCTTCTACCAGTGATCTTTCCAGTCGTTACGATATTTTCCTGTGCTCTTTTTTTTTCCATCAGATGATCAAAGAACTTTGTCTCCTTCTCATTGTTGTATATAATGTTCTACTTTCATTAGTCATTTTCATGCATTAAAAGTTGTTTATTCTGGCAGTCCAAGGTATTCGCAACATTATTCTCAAGAACCACATCTCGGTTTCCTACAAACTCTTTTTAATTACATAAACAATACACATGCATAAAAAGTAAAAGAACTTTCCCCACACCTTCAGGTGTATTGGGCATATAGGGTTACACCTAAATTTTATAGACCGATCGACATTCAGTGAGTGATGTTGTCAGCATCACGCCAGCCGCCTTTACTTCTCAGAACTGTACCTGGTTGATTGGCACCAGAGACGGGAGTGTTATATTGCGCTACGAGGAGTCATGTGACTCAGCCCATGGCGATGGCGAGTGTAACTAGCAAGCCCGCCAGCGTTTAAAAAAAAAAATCTTTCACAATTATATAATGGGATTTTAGGACTGTTGTTGTCAACATTTGATTTTAATCTGTTTCCTATCAGACGATCAGCTCTCTTCCTTTCTGCAATCATTTCTTCATGCATTATCATTCCCTTCCTGATGTGCCCCCTTCACACAACACAGTCTACGGCATTTTGTTCCCACAAGTTCACCTCAATACCTGCAACATTCATGTCCCTCTTGCACACCTCTTTGTATCGTAGTAGAGGTCGGATCGACATCTTTTACCCGTCTTTTATTCACCGTAGAGAATGTCCTCAGGGACTCTGCCATCCTTCTTTTTCCAGATGTGACCCAGCCACGTGAGCCTACGTTAGACTGAACATTGAGAAAGTTGTTGTAATACCTGATCTTTCCAATACCTCAGTGTTTGTGATCTTGTCCTGCCACTTAATACAAAGTATGTGAAAGCTATTAAGCCGTTTTTCCCCTAGTGCGAATAAATTAATCAAGTTTCACTGGCATAAAGCAGAGTGCAGAGAACACAAGCCTGATAGACAAGGGTTTTTGTTTTCATCGTAATCTTTCTACTGTACTGGCTACCCAATAAAAAATACACATACACACACAAGCATAAAAATCTATTGTCTTTCCCTGTTTAACGTTGTTAAACGTCGCAAACACTGCCAATTATAGTTTTCAAGGATAGTGCGCGCTCGTCGGCTTGCTGCCTGGTGATTTTGTTGAGCTTCAGCAAGTTGTTAACTCCATCTGTCCATATTCTTCTTGGCCTTTCTCTGACTCTTTACATTCTCATGTTGTATGTTCATGCAACCTGTGAACACAAGCATATAAAGTTAGTTGTGTATTCTTCACAGGACGTTGCAGAACCAACCCTAGCAAATTTTTTTTTAGGCTGTTGTGGTTTTTCAAGGCACATTTTACGTTCAATAGTGTGCCACTGTACTGACGGTTGGCTCTCGGTACCACTGTCGAAATCAACGCAAGACAAATCATCCGCAGCTTGTATTGAACCCTGCACCCCGGCATTACGAAGCGCGTTCACAACGCCTAAACTACAGAAGCCGATAAAACAAACATAACTATGTATTCAAACATACATAAACACACAAACAGGCAAGGCTTTCGTATCACACAATGAGATATTAACTCTTACACACACACATGTAAGGCTTTCGTATCACACAATGAGATATTAACTCTTACACACACATATGCAAGGCTTTCGTATCACACAATGAGATATTAACTCTTACACACACACACATGCAAGGCTTTCTTATAACATAATGACATATTAACTCTTGGACTTGTTGATTCAGACAATAGGTTTCTGTGATGTCTTCGAGTCGGACTCCGAGCATTTCCTTGAAATTTACGAGATCAGAGATCTCTTCTCCAGAGGGGCTGGCAAGTAAGTTCCTCACTCACTCACTCACTCACTCACTCACTCACTCACTCACTCACTCACTCACTCACTCACTCACTCACTCACTCACTCACTCACTCACTCTCTCACTCACTCACTCACTCACTCACTCACTCACTCACTCACTCACTCACTCACTCACTCACTCACTCACTCACTCACTCACTCACTCACTCACTCACTCACTCACTCATTCACTTACCTCACCACTCGCTCTCTCGCCTACTCACTCATTCACTCACTCGCTCGACCACCCCTATTTGTCTCTTACTCGCACTCTCTCTCTCTCTCTCTCTCTCTCTCTCTCTCTCTCTCTCTCTCTCTCTCACACTAATTCACTCACTCACTCACACACTTTTTTACTCACTCAACTACTCACACACACATAATTTTATCTCACTGTGTTTTTCTTTTTCTCTGCTTCAGACTTCCTCACTCAGTATATCTAGTCTTGTCCTCTGTATGAGTAAGTGTGTATCTCATTCACCTCTCTATATATACCTTCCTCAACTTTGTACGCTCGCTCTCGCTCAGGTCCCACCTCTTTATTTCACTATTTGTTTCTCACACCTGATTTTGTTTTCTCTTTCCTCTCCTCCTCTCTCTCTGTCCCTTTCCTGTTCTCTCTCTATTCTCACTCTATCTCCTCTCTCTCTCTCTCTCTCTCTCTCTCTCTCTCTCTCTCTCTCTCTCTTTCTCTGTCTCTTCCTCTGTCTTACTCTATTTTCCTCCTCCTGCTGTTTCTCCGTTCCCTCTCTTTATCCCCGCCCTCTTTTTTCTATGAGAGTGAAAGAGAGAGAGAGAGAAAAGGAGATTCCTGTGTTTCACTCCCCCTACTCCCAATGTGGGTTCCAAAGCCCCCCCCCCCCCCCCCACCCCACCCCCCCCCCCCCCCCCCCCCCCCCCGCCACCCCACCCCACCCCCAAAGTATCTTCCTGCAGCAAGAACGGCCCACTGTAAGGTTTTCACACAAAATGACTTAATTATCTATACATTATGTGTAAAAGCAAGTCACTATGTGCCAGTTTGTCTCTCTTCTTTTTATTGTTTACCATGGAAACTGTGATGTGAATTTTTTTTACAAGTTTTTGTTTTCGTTGCTTGTTCAGAGTCTGGCGCCAAATCGTTTTACTGGCCACCAGATGTGGAGGCGATGCACTGAGGGAATTTACTTCCAATGCCAGGCAGTCTGCGATTCAGTTTTATCAGCTCCCTGACTGACAGATTCGGCAAGTAAAGCGTCAGCTCACCTGGCCAGCCACTAAAAAGTTTGCGGGAAATCGAGGCTGACATTGTATATCTACAGACATTTTGAGACGTCTAAAAGTAGCAGATTCCGGTTTTCATCTATTTTAACAATTCAGTTTCCTCCGAAATACAACAGATATAGAAAAATGCTCAGTTTAAAAAATAAAAATATGTTGTTCTGGTTGTTCGTCCACTTCTGGATTTTAATCTTGTCCCAAAACTCGAGTTTTGCATGCACATTCATTTTACAGGTTTGGCTTATTTGTGTGGAGAGTGTTGTTTCCTTATCTTGAAGGCAGGTGCATTCCGACTTCAAAGAAACTCATAATGAGTCGACTCTTACGTCATGCTTTTAGGAATATTGAATTAAGAATTAACATCACAGCACTCGGGATACTCCCATAAGCACATCGTCCCTATCTTCAGCAGCAAGCGAAGAGTTCCAATTCCAATAGCACCAGTAAATGTCTGATTGTAAATAAGAATCCAGTTTTCCTAAATATTTCAGCTTCTGAGGCAAGATGCTGTTTTCTAGCCAATTTTTCTTGGCGTTCAGATATTTTTTAATGTCACATCTGGCTCCCCGTATCAAATTATAATAGGGTTTTCAAATAAAAACCTTCAAAGCGTGATCGAAGTTAAAATGACCTTCCCTGCTGGTCTGTACAGTGTAAGTCTGTTCCTATAGGAATGAAATTAAGTGGACCCCTACAAAACAATTTTATGATCTGGACTTCGCTGATGATATTTCTCTTCTGTCCATGGCACAGAATCTGATGCAAGATACGGGTTTTTTTTTTTTTTTTTTTTTTTATATCCAGAAACCATGAGTTGTAAACCCTTTGGCTCGGTACTATGGATATCGCAACCCCTCGGCCTTGATTCCATGATAGATACCGTAAATCTGGGAGAAATGTGGCTTTTCTGCCTACCCCGGGAGTGAACCCGGACCACAAGGAGTACAACACCCGTCCGCCGTGAAAGTCAGGTTTAACCAACTACGCTAGAGAGCCGGGCAAGATACGTTAAATATACTTAATGCGAGATCATAAAAAATCCATGAGGGAAAGACAGATATAACGAGAATAAATCAGACAAATAGTAATGTTGTTACTCTTAATGGCACCCCACTCCAAGACATGGAGTTGTACACATATGTGGGCAGTAATTTAGATAAAGATGAGTTAAGTGCTAGAGATAACGGAAGGCAAGAGGAACTTTCATAGCACTAAATAATTTGTGAAAGTTTTAACAAAATTTCAACTGATTCTAAACATACAATTTTAATTCTAATATCAAATCAGTGCTGTTGTATGGAACGGAAACATGAAGAACAACTTAGGCATTACTAATAAACTACAAACATTCATTAATTAAGTGGTCATTGCGCCAGAGTAGAGGGAATTAAATGGTAGAATCACTAATGCTGGGACTTAGGTGAGAATTAAAATAGCAGATAATCAAGAGGGTAAGAAAAGATGCTGACTTTGAATAGGACACATTATGGGGAAAAACCTTGGTAAATATAGGACCCATGTCAGTTTTTTTTTATGTTTAAAATAAAAAAAAAAGCAATGGTGTTATGTAGGAAATTTCTGAAACTTAAAGAAATAACACTGATGTTTGAAATAACACTAGTGATTGAAATAACACTGAAGTTTGAAATAACGGGTTTGAAACAGCACATGATTGAAATAACAATGTTTGAAATAACACCGTCGTCTGAAATAACACTGTCGTCTGAAATAACACGACGTTTGAAAGTAACACTGATTTTTGAAATAACACTGTCGTTTGAAATGACACTGACGTTTAAAATGACACTTTCGTTTGAAATAACACTGTCGTTTGAAATAACACTGACGTTTGAAATATAACACTGTTTAAAATAACACTGCCATATATACGGAAGCCGACGACTATCAGCAATGTAGAGAGTCGTGCGACATGGGTGTGTAATGTTTCTAGATCTGGCTTCACTATCAAGTTTTTACCAACAAAAATTACAGTCGAGAGAATCAACTTCACGGCATCAGCTTATTCCATGTTAGGTCTATCTCTATCCGCAGAACCACCCACCGAGAGGAACCACGTGGCTCCAGCGACGATCCGTGAGGTTCTCGGAAAAAATTTGCCTCATGACCTACTCTCGTGCAAAAACGAATATGGGAAGTATACGAAACTCTCTCTCTCTCTCGTTGTTTCCCACCAGCGATAAACACACATACTTACAAACCTATACCTAAATCCACATACCCAAACCACATGCCCAGATAATCCATAACCACATTATAAACACACACATATCGTGAGGTGAGCAGCCAACCCTACACAAAGGACGAGTCGGGACTTTGACTTCCCTCGCGCTCAGTCAAATTTCAAACTTAAACCCGTCCGGAAGGATATATAGTCCCTTATATTGATATATACCTTTATCTGGTAATATACTCATTTCTAGACCCTCAAGTTGCTTTGATACATCTTCATTTTCAAACTTGCAACTGTAGGTTGACGATTTCTGGTAATTTATTTAGAAATTTCTGTAAACCGGTTTACTCCTTGGGCAGGAATACATGGGACTTCTTTCCTAGAGACGCTAGTTCGGTTTTGAAAAAACATTCTTTCGCCTAATCCCAAAGTGTCAAGTCGTGTATACAGTCTATGTTGAAATTGGCGCATTCAAAGTTTCATTTCTATCTTGGAAGAATTCATAAGCTTGGGTAAGTTGTTGATAGTTTACGAGTACCATAAATTATGTCTTTTTAAAGTTGGTCACTGCTGCAGAGAGGGGAGAGTAAGCTGTGTGATCGCACAGAGTTCGACCGTTCTTGATGTCCAGAGATCAATCTCCGAACATTAGACCTTCCCCTGTACAGACTAATTAGTTGGTGCTCTACATAACCCACACCATTTGTAAAGATATTAAACCCTACAAGTAATTATTCTCTGACCAGTCAAACGAAGTTTTGGCCGCATAACAGAAATAAGGAATCTAGGTAATCTTTAACCGTGAAATACTGTGCCGTCAGGGCTAGGCGCTCTGAGTCAAAGGTGTGTTTGACACAGATTCAGTGGGTGTAGTGAACGGCCTTTGAAGACGGAATATATATATATATAGGTACTAACTGTAAACAATGTATGTTGCGAGTGCGTGTGGGGGTGGAGAGAGGATGATTCTATGTGTGGTAGTGTCTATCTCCACTTATATACCTTGTTTTCTATATGTTGCACTATTGTACAGACAGAAATGAAAGGAGACATTGTCTCCTGTTCTTGAGAGTTACACTCTGAGGATTGGAGAAAGGTGACAGAGGTGAGATGAGCTGGTGTGAATAAGGCTGATTACTAACTTTCCGACAGGATGATTAAAAAAAAAGTAAAGGACCCTTTCCCACGCCTTAAGGCGTATAGGGCATATAGGGCTAGACCTATATTTTTATAGACCAATCGGCACAAGATGGGTGATGTGGTATCACACCGGCCGCCTTTACTTTCCCGGGACTGCACCCGGTACCCACTCAAGGTCATTTTTGAAAAAAGTCCGGCTCTGCCAGGGAGCGAACCCACGACCTTCGATCCGCGGCGAGCGTAGCCGCTCGGCCACGGCGACTCCCGACAGGATGATACCTCCTTAGAATCAGGCAGACGAAACAGTCCAGCCAACAACCACCAACTCATACCATTTTGTACAAGCGTATCCCAAGACGGTGCCACTACTTCAACATGGCAAGAGCTTGTTTGTGAGTTCCAGGACCAGGTGACAATTGCAAACACCTATGTCATCAATCGAGAACCAGTCTTCAAGAGCTGGGCTCTTATGCAGTTATTGTGTCATCACCTGTGACACCGGCAGTGGGCATCACAGTCTCCAAGAGCTTTGTTGGAGCTCCTATGCAGTTCTGGTGTCCTCGTTTGTGACTGTCAGCTTGTACCAGATCAACTGATTGTCAACAGTCGAATCACCATGGTCTGAGGGGGCATTGACCTACGAATTGGGCTAAGTTATCTTTATCACATTACATGATCTCTCAGCACCTTATCAGTCCGATGAAGAACTTCCTCGAGACTACATCTGGCTGCTTTCATTCATATCTGGGTTGTGTCATTGTTTCCTGAGCTCCATTCACTGACTCTTGTTTATCGATTCATTATTATATTAATATTATTGTATGACATGCACACATTTTGGCTGACTTGGGTGTCCTGTTTCACCATTTTAACTGCTAGCATTGATGTTTTGTGAGTAAAAAGTGATTAAACATGGCTTAGGGGCTATCTTTTCATAGTATTGGGGTGTCCAGCCAAGTGTGCCTAGGAATATTATATATTTTGTAGTGCCAAAGCTTGAGTTGCCCTAAGAGCGTATGCCACGGGGCATCCCTTAGACCAATACGAGCCAACGACTCAACATAATTATTTCAGAGTGCTGTTGGTTCTTAAGGAGAAATGCTAAAAACACGCGACAGGGGTGATATGTGACACACACACACACACACACACACACACACACACACACACACACACACACACACACACAATCCTACACAGCATATTACGCACCCATACATCCCACATGCACAGGAGCTCATCATGCTCACAATGCACCACATACTCACTCTCTCTCTCTCAGACAGCCGAGAAGTTAACAAGATCGACATCTCTGGAGTGGAATGGTTATAACCCCAACTAGCTAACCAATTTAACTGTATTATGTAGAGTGTGCACTTGTTACTACTATATGTAGTGTGCGTGTATGTATGTTGTGCATCAGTGTATGTAGCAGTGTTGTGCCGAGTGTGTTGCCTTATATCCTTATATGCTTCTGTAAGTGTTGTCCATGTTTACTTTACTGTGTACATTACTGGTGCAAGACTGTGTTCTGTTGCTGTGTTATGAAATTTATGTTGTTTACTACGTGTAATGATGTGTTGTGTGATCGTAGTCTGTGGTTGCATTGTATTATGTCCGTGTTTTTGCATTGTGTGATATGTTGTCCATTTAACGTTATAAGTATACGTTTTGTATACTCTGTATGTTTTGTATTTTACTATGTCCGTGTATGTCACTCTGTGTTACTCTGTGTGTGTTTTGTGTCACTGAATTTTACTGTGTCCGTGTATGTCACTCTGTGTTGTCACTGAATACTGTGTGTTGTATTGTCACTGAATTAAATTTACTGTGTGTTGTTTTGTCACTGAATTTTATTACTATGCGTTGTGCAATGTGTTGTCCGTGTACGTTGTGCAGTGCGCTTGTGTTAACTGTGTGTTCGTGTAGTGTCGCTCTACAGCTATGTCCTTATGATCTATCTCATTATTCTTTACATACACTCTTCCTATGCATGTACAATCCACGATTCGAACCTCCTACTCCGGCGTCCTCGGATTTCCAGATCACTGTCCTCTGTTGACTGAGCTATCCTGGTGTTGGAGATATCCGCGAAATATAGAATTAATAGCAAATTGGTACGATGAAATCAATTTTACCCACACTAAACATCTGCTGTATTGATTACTGATTTTAGAATCGACATCATTAGCACAACGGGCATACCCATTGGTGCTCCGTCTCCCGCTGCAAATGTTTTGAGGTGTAGGTGCTAACTGTTCCCGTAGACCATTGGTATACTGAATATTGAAGTATTTCAATAATAGAAAAACACACACTTACCATTCGTATCTTTATAACTATCTTATGCTTCGTTTATATTAATTTCCGAATTGACATTTGAGAAACATAATTTATGTAGCAGTAGCAGTGATGACTTAATAAATGTTTCTGTCTTCTTCCATCGATAATATATAATATTTTAACACAGAACACACAAGAGATAACAATGCCAAAGAACCCATTAAAATGAAGCCCCAAACAGTAACATACAGCTTTAGATTTCAACAAAATTAATTTGATTATAGTAGAATCATTACCAAAAAAAAAAAAAAACATACAAAATCCATTAGGGTTAATTGAAATTCATAACATTTTAAGATAATTCAATTCATAGAACAAATTACATTGACAAAACTACAGAATGGATTAAAATTAATATTATTGTAGTGAAGATTATTACAAAATTACCACAGAACACACACAAGTCAACGAAATTGTAGAATTCACAAGAATAATTTTATTTTAGAACTTAAAACAATTTAATTATTGAAACCACAGTGGTGAAGATTAACATTAAACCAACATTAAAGATTACCACAGAACCGAAACTAGTTAATGTATTCATTGAATCCAATGGGGTGTAGCGTTTCAAAGCAAAGAAGTACAGTATGCCACCCTTCAAGATTAATTTATTGTTACAAACACACACACAAGAGATGCAACTCTGATGGTACCAACAACAGTCTCATTGTGAGTCTGGCCTTTCCACTTAGTGTGGAGTGTCGGCATAATCCCCTAGTCACTCCGCTTGTACAATTAATTCCAGACTATGATAATCAGAGTGCGCCTCCACACTGTTTACTCGCTCTCAAAGAGCCTTGACAACATTTAGTTGATCGTGCATAGATTTATCTCCAAGTGGCGCAGAGCCAGCAAAGCTTGTCCGGATGTTCATTTCCTACCACATCTGAATATCCTAGAAAAAAAAAAAAAATCCAAAAGAAGCGTAGTGCACTGGACTTCTGATGCGATACATGCCACGCTGGACGAAGCATACATGCCTCCAGCTTTCTCAGTATGCTTTGCGCTTCAGTTAAAACCACAACATAAATGTGCAGTTTGTTCTCAAACCAACGTAAGGCTGCACTGACCGCCTCTACCTGCATTTTCAAACTAGATGTTGTGATATCGTTTGCTAGTCTTTTGTTACGCTAAGGCATTAGCTTTTGCTATGAACCCCCATGCACTTTTTCTGCCTCTCAACACAGAGCTATCTGTACATAAAATCACACCTCCTCGGAACACAGAGCTATCTGTACATAAAATCACACCTCCTTGGAACACAGAGCTATCTGTACATAAAATCACACCTCCTTGGAACACAGAGCTATCTGTACATAAAATCACACCTCCTTGGAACACAGAGCTATCTGTACATAAAATCCCACCTCGGAACACAGAGCTATCTGTACATAAAATCACACCTCCTCGGAACACAGAGCTATCTGTACATAAAATCCCACCTCCTCGGCGGACATTGTCACGAATCAGTTATTGATTTCTGATTCCGCAGCACCTGCTGGCCATTCCCTACACTCCTGACCCAACAAAAATCTGCTTGTTGCTCAGCCACTCTGATCCACTCATCCCCTCGCCTAATATTTTCAAACATGCACACAAGTTTCATTGTGTCTTCTGTCTGTGCCATCCAAGACCAATGGCGCAATTAGGATAGGGCAGGTAGGGCTTATGCTGCTGAACAGGGGGTGGGGGGGGAGGCGCCAGTACATAATTTTGTTTTGATAAGTGCTGGTCTTATCTGGAAAGTCCATGATGCGTTTCTTTTGCTGAAGAAGACCAGAAGCCCTAAACACAAATGAACACATATGCCTGCTCAGCGCCGCTCACAAAGTAAATGAGTTCTGCAGTCTGGCCAAAATCCTCATTTCTGTTACTGAACCCAAAAAAATGGTCGCCACCCACAAGTTGAGAACCGCTGCTATAGGCCTACTTTTCGCAATTTGGCTAACAAAGTATTATTATTAATAATAATAATTATTATAATTATTATTATTATGAGCGAGTCAACAAGCCCCTCTTCGCTCCGTAGAAAATAAAAATTTCCTTTTTCTTTTTAAACAAATATTTTGAGCCTCCCAGTCCCCCTCTTTAACTGTATAGGAATGGGATGCTCAAAGGGTTTAACCTTGTTTAACTGCTCAATAATAATAATAATTGCTAGCATTGTTATTGCACAATTAAACAAGACATGCGTCCCCACCCGCCTCTAGAAAATCATAGGAACCAAGGGGGGGGGGGGGGGGGGTTGGCTTCCGGTTTTTTCTTTAGTGGCACCCTTGGTCACAACATTGTGTTGGCCCACAGCAAGAGCAGACCTATTAGTACAAATAGGGCACGACCTTCTATTGTAAAATGGTTCAATTTACTTAACATAACAGAGGCGCCGAAACCTGGAAGACTGGGTTTACTGAGAACCCGCACTCATACAAAAATTTCGTTGGTGAGCTGAATGAATGAGATTCAACCCCCACCAGGATATCTACCAAGCGATAAACATCCGGTGACACAAATAATATGAGAATCAACACTGAAAAGACAGAAGTAATGTCGATAGGAAAAAAGAAGACAGATCTAAACATAGCAATAGAATACAAAGGCATTAAACAGGCATCTGAGTTTAAAATCTGGGAAATACATTTACCGAAGATGGGAAATTGGATAAAGAAATTGACATTAGATGCAGTAAAGCAAACCAAGTATTGGGACAGCTAGCCCCCCTCTTACAGCATAAGACAATCCCAATCAGCACAAAGAGACATCTTATTCAAAGCATATTTTTACCAACTCTGTGCTACCAGTGCCAGACATGGTCACTCACAAAAAACCATAAAAGAAAATTAGTAACTACGGAAATGAGATGTCTGAGAAGGGCTGTAGGAGTGACCATAAGAGATAAGATCAGGAATGAGATCATAAGAGAACAAGTTGGCACAGAGCCAATTCTGGATTACACACAAAGACAGCAAGTGAAATGGTTTGCCCACTTAGAGAGAATGCCTTGTGACACCATACCATACAAAGCATTCATGGAAAGAGAAGAAGGACGTAGAGCACGGGGTAGACCAAGAACAAGATGGAAGGATAACATCAGAGAAACTCTACAACAGCACGATGTGCCTATGGTCGAGGCAGCCAGAAGAGCTAGAAACAGAACCTTATATCTCCCTCGACACCCAAAGCGGTAAAAGAGGAAGTGAAGAAGAAGAAGAAGAAGAAGAAGACACAAAGTGTCACCATGCGGATAAGGATCACTTGGGGAGATATCTCAGAAAACCCGTTCTACCGTTAGGTTGTATCTGGGGCCCCCGACTACAACCGGGGTGGGAGCTCAAGCAGAGCTGAGGCTCCTTCACACCTTAAATATGTACGGTGGCTAAGCACGCAGGTGGACGCTAAGAAGAAAACAGAGAAGAAGAAAGCATTATTCTGCATTATTACTGCTACCTCATACAGAAATATAATAAGGCAGCCAAGAAAGGTTGGTCATAACGATACCTCAAACATGTCGGGCCTGGCTGTGGAAGGAAGCCTGGCCAGGCCGGAAGTCAGGGATACAGATAGGGATAGTGTGTAGCAGACGTAAGATGTCTGACTCTTCAGTCTAGTCCTAGACTCGTCTCTTTCTTCTCAAACTTTGACCGGCCGGTGTTTTTTTTTTTGCTCACTCCAGTCGCAAGATACCACCTACACTAAACACATTTTAGATAGTTTGCAACGATGTCGTGGATCTACCGGACTTTGTTGTTATTAGTTTATTAAATTAGGAAATTTAGTTTAAAATTATCAGTACAAAAAATTCTCAATTCTAAGTCTTATCTTTGTTGGCACATCGCATTGATTGAGCAAAACTTTCGAAATGTTTGGAAAAAAATTTTTATGAAATAAAGTTTACAGTTCACTTACTTATTAGCAGTTAAGTAGTCGGTAGCCCGTGAGTTTTTATTTTCAAGTAGATAAATGAATTTATTGAAAGGACAATCCGGATATAAGAAGTGGATAGGGACGTCGCTAGCTTTGACATGTCGGTGTCATCTACGTACACGTTTGATCACTCAAGTCCTATGCCTTCTCACTCACCGGTAAATATGTCGGGTGGCTCGGATCTGAACAAAGATGCGGAGGAGACGCACTGTGGTCACGGCGATTTACGAGGAGTTCTGGGCTTGTTTGTGCAAGCTTTGTTAGCGTTTTTGGCCTTCACTTCTTTGATCGGTAGGTATCAATATCGATGTATCAATTGTCTTGGCATTTCTTTTGTTGTCTGTGATAATTTGATAATAATTAATATTAATGTAAAATAAGGAATCATTGCTGATTAAGTATTGTTTGCTTTAAACTGTAGACAGCCGAAACATACATGGAAATATAGCCATTTATTATTTTATAGCCAGTTCTGAACTGCTGAACCCATATGACTCAGAGTTCAGATAGCTTAGTAAATTACAGGAAGACTAATTCCATATTAGTTCTTTTTGTAAAAAAATGAGGAGTGGGTTCCAACATCTGTTTATGCCTCTCAAGAGGGCTGGTCCACTTTTTTCTTGTCTTCTCATTGCTCAGCTCAGTCATATGCCTGTCTTGTATTAAAAACCATCATGGAATGGGATCAGTTTGAAGCTTGTGAGCAAGAGGTGAATGGAGATACAAAGGGTAAGATTACATCAGGTTATTTGTCAATGACATTGGGCATGACGTACAACTACAACAAGCAGAGACACCATCACGAATACAACATTTGTTTTGGCAAATATATGTAATACTACTACACTTGAAATAATATGAAATGTAAGTAAAGGACCCTTTTCCATGCCTTTGGATATATAGGGCTAAACCTGTATTTTATAGACCAATCAACACTAGGTGGGTAATGTGGTCAACAGAAGGCCCGCCACCTTTACTTCCCATGATTATATCTGGTACCCAGTTAAGGCTGGGTCGATTTGGAAGCTTAGATGCTTCTCCATGTGCCAGTTCCAGGGCCTCATTCTAGGGAAGAAAAGAATAAACCCACTGACCCCAGCCCTCCCCACCCCTTCCACGACAAGTGTGCTATAAAAGGTGACTAATTACGGAGGGGGGGAGGTCTTGGGGTCGGAGTTCATCTGCCTGAGAAGCGAGGAACCAACAGTCTGCACACAAATAAGCCAGATCTGTAAAAGAGATGTGCACTCAAAACTGAGTTCAGGAACCAGGGCAGGGTCCAGTTTACAACCATCAAATGATCAGAAGAAATAGAAGATAATAAGACCAGGCATGCTGACACATTAATAATATTATATGCTAGGGAAATGTCATGGTATAGCAACTAGATGTTCACCTGCAAATCTGAACCTTTTTTTTTTTCAAATGACCTTGGCTCCCAAAGCGACCCAGCCTTAAATAGGTACCAGATAAAAGTCATGGGTAGTAAAGAGAGTGATGCTGACCACCTCAACCACAAAGTGCTGATTGGTCTATAAAATATAGGTCTAGCCCTATATACCTAATATGCTTGAAGGTGTGTAAAAGGGCCTTTTAAGTTATGTTCCCACAATTGACATCTTTGCGCACTGGGCTCCTCATGCATGCTCAGTCCTCTGATGCAGCAGCCTCTTCCAGATACCTCAACTGATTGTTCCCTTGAGGAGTTGATTATAGTACCTCCTGTCTTTACCTCAAAAACCCTATAGACGTACTTCCCCAAGCTTAACTCCTCAGGCATGCAGTCATGTTAGCTTAAGAGATTGGCCATTATCCCCCAATGGGGACATGCTTGCCAAGGAGGCAGTGGGTCTATTCTTTTCCTTCTTAAATAGGGCCCTGGGATTCACACAGGGAGAGGTATCTAAGCTCCCAGATCGACCCAACCTTAAGTGGATACCAGGTATAGTCCTGGGAAGTAAAAGTGACCGGCATTTTTTTGACCACATTATCCACAGAGTACCGATGGGTCTAGCCCTGTATGCCCAGCACATTTCAAGGCACGGAGAATGGTCCTTTATATTACATTTTTGTTTCAAGTATAGTATTATACATATATTTGCCTAAAAAATGTTTTCTTCGTGGCAGTTCACCTGCTTGTGGTTGTACATTTTCACTAGGTTTCCCAAGCAAAGGGTCCAGTACTTTATTATGTACTGAGTGGCAAATAAATGTAATAATTAATATATTTGAAATAATAACAAATATATAAACTTATACTCAGTAAAAGTTTTTTTTTAACGTGGCTAAAGGGTTACTTAGTGCCCCTATACATTTTCGAGGGGGACATGTGGCCATATGAGTTTAATACATTCTCCTCAGTGTAATACTGACCATATAGGTTTAACACCTTCTTCCCAGTTAGTACCATATAGGTTTAACACATTCAGGCTTGAGTTAGAAGTAGAACGGAGCACTAATAGGTTACACTCATATACCATAATGTTGATCCGTTGAATAAACAGATTCTCCCCAGTGTAATACTGACCATATAGGTTTAACATATTCCACACAATGTAACAATGTTTAACACTTTTTCACCAGTGTAATAAATAGGGGGGCTGTATGGTCTCAAGGCATGGTGTCCGCCTCGAGTGCTAGAGGTTCTGGGTTCAATCCCCGGTAAGGGCTGAGATTTTTTCTCGTGGACTTGGACTTCTAATAATTCCCCCTGGTCTTTGGGTAGTGAGATCAGACACCAGTGTGTTGTGCACGTAAAAAATCCCTTGGCAGTTGGAAATCTAGAAGAGTAGCCGGGCAAAATTGTGAGTTAAAAATCTACTGAAACTATTTCAGGATCCTCGCCAGTGCTACAGAGCCTGTAGTGCTGTGCTTCTTCGGACTCAGACTTGAGTTAGAAGAAGAACAGACCACTTATGGGTTACTACCCTTGTGCCATGATGTTGATCCGTTGTTCAAACCTGAAACCACTAGTTTAAAACTGACCAGATATGTTTAACACCTCTCCTTTGTGCCCAACTGACATAAAATAGGCTTTCCTTGACCTGTGCCTTTGTTCATCCTCAGTGAAGCGGTATTGTGAGCCAAAACATTCCAGACGGCCTTGGAAGATTTGGTAAGTTAGGTTTTAACATGAACAGTTATTTAGCTCTCTTACTGGACATGCGAAGGGATGCGGATACCCCAGCTCATGACTTCACTTAAAATATCAAGGTCTAATACTTCACTGCCTGTCGAGTTGAGTCAGGAATTGACATCACAGCACTCAGGGCTTTCCCATGTGTGCTCCGTCTTCATCTTCAGCAGCAAGTGCAAAGTTCCAATACTGATGGTACCAGTCACATCTGGTTATATGTCCGTCTTGCCTTTCCTCTGAGTGTCGTGAGCCAGCCAGACCCTCTGGTTACACCCAGGTGCCTCATTCTCTCCAGGCCATAATAATCTTTTTTTTTTCTACTGATTCTGTTGCTTGTTCCCAAAGGGCCTTGACCACATCTGCCTTGTCATGCACCCAGTGGTGCAGATCCAACCAGTCTGTCTGCCTGTTCATTACCCACCATGCCGGCATGAAGGCATTCAAATGTTGAATGTTGTTGAATTAAGAATCAACATCACAGCACTAAGGACACTCCCATAAGTGCTCAGTCCCCATCTTCAGCAGCAAGCAAAGTGAAGACATTCATGATGCCCTATATATTTTTTTTAAGTTCAACAAGCTTTTTTTTTTTTTGGTCTGACATACATTTAGAGTCTTACAAACCTAATATGCCATTGTTTTTAATGTTTGGATTCTAGAATCTGTAAATCTTATATATTTTTTCTCAATACAGGTTTTTTGACACGTCTAAACAAGGTGTTGGAGCAGCCGTGCTTCATTTTGCCAACCTGTTCCTTTCTGACGTGTTTGCAGGAGACCCTTGTACATGGTAAATGTGATTGTTGTCACCGTATCTGTTTTCAGACAGTGGTATAAGAGAGTTGCACTGTGGAGGGGATTAGGGCCTCATTATGTAATATGTCAAAGACAGCAGGAGATACATGGCAACCAACCTCCATTACAGCCTTCATTGTAAATAACGGCCATTGCTGCCTTTATTGACTACTTTTGTGGTGTAGGCAGTGGGGTCTTTGAGCCTGTTGTATTCTTACCCGTTTGGCAACCAACCTCCATTACAGCCTTCCATTGAAATTGAGTCCTACAAGAGATGTTGTATTCTTACCCGTTTAACCATTTGCTGCTCTTAGGGGCGGCACCAATACGGACTGTTTTTGTTTCCATGAAAAAGGACCTATTCTTCTATTTTAGACCCAGACGGAGCCAGACTTTTAAAAAAAATGACCGTGACTCCCAGGTAGATCCACCCTTGAGTGGGTACCAGGTGCAGTCCTGGGAAGTAAAAGCAGCCGGCGATTGGTCTATAAAAATATAGGTCTAGCCCTATATTCCCATTAGGCCTAAAGGTGTGTAAAAGAAACCTTTACTTTACTTTACATCATATGGCGGGGCAAGGGGAAATATTTGACCTGGTTGGTGCTTGTCTCCTCCCAGGCACACCATTGCCCAGTTAACCTGAAATCTCACAGCTTCAGTTTTCCACTGTGTACCACTAAGTTTCTTTTCCTTATGCTTGCTTCAAAGACATAAAGTGACATTGCTGAAACTCCACAGGTACTTCATCAGTTTTCTGTTGGACTCAACTGTGGGACTACTGGTGATCTACCTTGGTCTGAAGTCATGCCAGCTGCTGGCACATCGATATGGCTGGAAAACTTTATACTTTGGCGAATATGGTTGGTGCACTTTACACACAAAATATTTCATTTTTTGAGGGGTCTTGTGTATGAATTTGTTTACGTATTACTAGTTCCGCATTTCAAGCATAAGACAGTTGCAGCTTTTAAAATATAGTTATAAAAGTGAATAAACTAAAAAACAAAGAATATCAACTTCTTCTTAGTGTTCATTGACTGTAAACTCTGGTGGACAATTCTGGTTGTTCATCCACATCTGAACTTTGTTCTTGAGTTTTTCATGTACATCAGTTGTACAGATCTGGCTTATTTGTGTGCAGACTTTTAGTTCCTGACCTCGCACTCTAGACTTGGAAGGAAACACCTCTAGTTAGTCACATTTTATGGTGTGCGTTTTGGGAGTGGGTATGTTATTGTTTCCCCAGCGTAGGGCCCCAGATCCTACCAGAAAGAGGAAAGGGGGTCTGTAATGTTGCTGGCTTGTAGTACTGCTGCTACTCGTACGGCTTCGACTGTCTAGGACAGATAACACAAACACCGCTCAGTTTCCTTGTACATGCTGTCAGTTTTTTTTGGTGCATTTATTCAATATGCTCCAACAATTATTCACACTTCCATTGCTTCCGACCTATTATAGCACTGGTCATTCATATTAGAACTATTAACACAACCCTCTTCTACGACTTCTGGTAAGCTACTAACCACGAGTCCAGCTCAGGCTTTCCCTCGCTTACTCTACCAGCCCCCAAGTATCTCGTGCGGTCGCTTGTCGCACTAGCTTTCTGCTTGCCTCAGTATTCTTGTCTGGCCACACCCCTTTTAACATGTTGTTCTTGCAGTCTAGTCATGGTTGCAGTTTCACAGTCATCACTTGGTTCTCGCAAACGTCTCACTTCTAATAGAGCATTCAGAATATCAGCATGGTCCATGGCTCGTCCGCCCTCTAGAGTAGCTTTACCTGCAAGCCGATCAGCTTGCTCATTTGGCTGACATAAAAACCAAAAACAAAGATTGGTCAAAAACTGAGATTTCAGAATGTGGTTCTACACCAGAATGTGGTTCTACACCAGAATGCTTACAATTTATTGGCCGCCAGAATGAGTCATTTAAATGTTTGTGAAGAGACTGAGAAGTAAAGAGAACTGGATCACTAACATCGGAATGAGAGTTTTGTAACCTCATTATGAGTTAAGAGAAAACTGAACATGTAGTAGCTGGAGAGATTTCTGACTGCATAGGTAACACAAGATAATAATTATGTGACATCCTATTATCATGGCATGAACAGGTGCCAGCCATTAAATGGATATGTTGAGAGGACAGCCTTTAAGTAGCTCTACAAAAAAGCATGTCAGTAAAGTCGAGGAGCTTTCCTCACATATGGCTTGAATATTGTCAATCATTAGGTCCTTCACGGAACGTCATTCTCTTCACAGGTCACCTGGTAATAGTATATAATTTTCTAGCCAGTTCTCCGGCTCTGTGTGCTTTCATGTATGGAGCGGAAACATGCAGAACAAATAAAATAAGGCAATTACTAATAATCTACAAACATTCATTAACTGGTGTATGCACAGAATAGAGGGAATTAAATGGTATGATAGAATCACTAATATAGAGCTTTGGGAGAGAACTAAACAAGTTCCAGTGGACCAAGAGGTAAAGAAAAGACGCTGGTGTTGGATAGGACAAATATTGAGAAAACTTGAGAGTAAAATAACTAAAATGTCTTTGCACTGAAACCAACAGGAGGATAGAAGTAAAGGAAGACCAAATAATACATGGAGAAGGGAGCTAGAGAGGGAAGTTAAAAAGATGGGGAGGACATGGGAAGAGCTGCATGCGATAGCCAAGGATAGAACGACTTGGCGTGAGTTGGTTGAGGGCCTATGCTCCATTGGGGGTTCAAAAGGCAGAAGAAAGATGTGCTTTCATAGCCAATGCATCTTCACTGCCTTGTATCTACCTTTGTGGAGACCTGCCTCAGTTTTCTGGAAACTACCCTCCATCACTGTTCTATCTAGCCCACTGTGACATTTAACATGGCCAAAATACATCAGTTTTTCTGACAAAATGCTGTTTATGAGCCAATTCTACCCAGTTCTCAGATAGTGTAGGATGTCTGTGTTTTTCTTCTTCTTTGTCCATGGTATTTTAAGAATGTTTCTGTATGGCATGAATTTGTGTCAGCATACAAATAGATATGTTGTTGGAGATGGTAACAGTGAAGAATCATGACTACAATAGCATGTCAGTCAACTTAAGGACCTTCCCTAACATATTGTATGGACAGGTAGCATAGCATACCTTCCCCAGCATATGGCCTGGACAGGTAGCATGGCATACCTTCCCTAGCATATGGCATGGACAGGTAGCATAGCATACCTTCCCTAACTTATGGCATCAACAGGTAGCATAGCAAACCTTCCCCAACTTATGGCATGGACAGGTAGTATAACATACCTTTCTCATCTTATGGCATGGACAGGTAGCATAGCATACCTTTCCGAGCATATGGCATGGACAGGTAGCATAGCATACCTTCCCCAGCATATGGTATGGACAGGTAGCATAGCATACCTTCCATAACATGGCATGGACAGGTAGCATAGCATACCTTCACCAGCATATGGCATGGACAGATAGCTTAGCATAATCCTTGACCCATTGAGCTGTATCAGTGGAAGCACTAGTACACAAAATCTGTCATCTTTCTGCCTTGTTGAACATGTGCAAAGTAATTTTAGTCTTGTCCATTACTTGATATTATCATTCCAGGTTGGGTTGTTGTTTTTTGCCCCCTCTTCTTTGTCTCCCCCCCCCCCCTTTCCCAGTGTTCCTTGAAGTATGGTCTTTGCAATCGAATCATGTCTTGCTACATGCCCGAACCAAGTTAGATTGCAATAGTCACCACTGCCAGAGGCTTCTATGTTGGAAAAGGCAACATTGATGGAGTTTGATTACAGTCGCATATCGGTCAACTTAAGAAACTTCCCCACAAATTTAAGGTACATCTAGTGCAGTGTTTCCCAAACTTTTTTGTCCACTACCCCTTTTCAGTGAAAAAAGTGGCCACTTTGGGAAACACTGATCTAGTGTATTATTCCAGCCCCTTGTTTTCATACACCACCCAGAACTTGATGTAGGACTGAGTTCTGTATTCTTCCGGCCACCTTTACTACCCAGCACATTGCCTGCTACCAGTTTTGTTCTGGGTCCAGGTCATTTTAAATAAAAATCCTTTCATCAAGGGAGATTTGAACAGTGACTACTACCGACGAGTGAGTGCGCTAGTCACTGCACCGCCATGGCTCTCACGAAGGCAGTTGCTTCTTCTTTTTCTTTTGTGTCACCCTTAAAAAAGGCAATTGGCGTATTGTATTGTGGTTTACAGCGAGGCTGCGATATGTGAAGGAAAACGTGAGATCAGAGACATATCTGGACAAATATCCATTATGACTGTTATAAGACAAAGAAGGTGGAGATTTATTATGCACGGTCTGAGATTAAAAAAATTACAGAACAAGTAAGGTCTAAGAAAAAGAGAAAGTCCAAGGGAAACATTAGTAAGGACATTATTAGGAGACGCTAAAAATCAAGAGAGAGTTGAATGCAATCAAGCCGTGTGGAGGAATTGAATCCGATCTCTCTGTGATGTCACATAGTACAAAAAGGATGATGATGTGACTTTTTAGCCACATTGGATTTCAACAAACCCCTAATTAATTAAAGACTGATTAGGAAAAGGATGGACAGAAAGGTGATTGCAGGGGATCCCCTCCCTGGCACAACACTCATTCCCTGTCCTCTCTGTCCAAGAACTTTTCGGCCACATCAGTCATCTTCGTACTCATACTTGATGAAAAAGAGTGGTCATCGTCATCTTGTTGGGCAACACACACACACACACAATTAATTGACCTTTAGGACATGCTTGGCAGAGGCCAGTGGGTCTGTTTTTTTTCCCTCCCTAAAAGGGGAGAACCCACATGGGGAAGGCGGACACAAACTATTTATCTTTAATTTCTGGTATCAGTGAATACATTTGAGTTACCTGTGCTTGTTTCCCATAACTTAGGTGACCCAGCACGATGTGACGCCTGGGTAGGCCAGTGTGCTCTGTACATCTTAGTGATGATTGTAACCAAAATACTCATGACACTACTGGTCCTGTTCAAGTTTTGGACTGACGTAAGTTTACTTTCCTTTACAGTAAAAGCATTTCGCCGCTAGGGAAAAGATACCAGTGGAAATTAAAAGTAGTGAGCTTTACCTCAGCGGTTCTCAACCTGTGGGAGGGGACCCTTTGGGGGGGGTCGAACGACCCTTTCACAGGGGTGGTCATCGGAAAACACATATTCACTGAAGTTATGAAGTAGCAACGAAAATAATTGTATGGCTGGGGATCACCACAACATGAGGAACTGTATTAAAGGGTCGCGGAAGGTTGAGAATCACTGTTTTAGATGAATCACAATCATCAACAACAAATGAACTTTGCAGCTAGTAAGCCTGTTAGCATACAAGACTAAGAACAGTGTTACAGTGACAATCAGCAGTATACAGGACTTACTGAAGTTTACAGCCGGTGAATGTCAAAAAGAAGAAGAATTGTTCCTGCAGCTTTTCACTGCAACGAATATGGATGATTCTTTATGTTTACACACACAGACACACACATACATACTTTTAAAATTATACTGACAACTTTTGCAGTAATAATGTTTGACATTTGTCAGCATGTAATAGTGGACAGAGCGGCATCCATGGCTTAGGTGTTGCGAGTCCAACTTGTAATTCCAACGTACCACAATCGAAACTCCCTGCTGACTTTGTGTGAATTTTTAACATGTTATGGGGCGTCGCAGGTGACCCAGCCTAAATGGCTACCAGGATGGCTGTCCTGGGGAAGTAAAGATGGCCGGCCTAATGCTTAAATTAATGATTAATGTGAAAAGGGATTTTTATATATTTTTTTTTATGGTGGATAGATGAATCCAAAAGCTAGGACAGCCTGCAGACTATGGGGATTGAGCAAAAGGAGGGCAAAGCGATTCATATCTAGATAGTTCAACCAAGTGGCATTATTGTGACAGGGCTACAGTTCTGACTAGTTTCTGGTGATCTCCTTATGTGATTAACCCTGTTGCACTTGCTTATTGGCCTAGCACATTATAGTGAAGAGATACCAGAAAATAGACAAAATCCATGTTACCCAGGATGTCTGCCTTCCAGCAAAATAACAAATGATTACTAGCATCTTCATTCCTGCTTGATGTTATCATTGCCAGACATGGACAGTGAGTAGGGAACTAGTACAGAAAATAACTACCTATAAAATACGCTGCCCCCGTAAGGTCAATACAACACAAGAAGGAATATGGTTATGAATACCAGCATTAAAGAGAAAGTTGCAACAAGAACTGTGTCTAAATTATATCGACAGACCAAATTCATATGAGACTTTTTACAGCGGAACATCTGGGAGGAAGGTGAAATGAACTAACGAACAAAAAACACGTTATTATTATAGAATAGAGCATTTGGGCATGCAGGTCCGTCTTACTTTACGGCCCTTTCAAACACTCTTCTTTGACACAGAAAAAAGAGATTAATAAATGATGTGGCTGAAACGTTTAAAAAAAACCAGATGACCAAATCCATCACCAAAGCCACCCAAGAAGAGCAAGACAAATATAGAAAACCATGGCACTGGGCTATAACATGGTATCAGAGAGACAACACAAGAAGAAGAAGCCAAGAGATATTGGTCAAGAATACACCCTTGCAAGCATGTCATAAGAAGTGGCTACTTAAGGATTTGCTGAAATTATGTTTTTGGACCAATATTACAGTCTAGCTGTAGACAGACTCTGAAAGCATGGTTGAGAAAGGTGAAAGCAGAGATTGCTTTCAGCAGAGTGGCAAACTACACTGGAAAGGTGACGGGTAGTGAGCATACTTTAGATCTTTTCTCCAAGCTATGTCGGCGTGGTGGGGAATGAACAGGCAGGTTGGCTGGATCTGCATCACTGGGTGGTGAAGTGATACATGTCAAGACCCTTTGGGAACAAGCAACGGAATCAGTAGATAAACAAGATTATTATGGCCTGGAGAGAATGAGGCACCTGGGTGTAACCAGATGGTCTGGCTGGCTCACTACACTCAGAGGCAAGACGGACATATAATCAGACTGTTACCGGTACCATCAGTATTGGAACTCTGCGCTGGTTGCTGAAGATGACGGAGCATGCATGGGAATGCCCTGAATGCTGTGATGTCAATTCTTGACTCAGCTCAACTCCACTGATAAATTTAATTAGTTTTGTATACCAAATAATCTAGCTTGTATTTGCTTTTTTTTTTCTGGTATTAGGTGAGGAAATTTTTAATGGATCCGATCAGCAATCCAGAGCTGGAGATAGTTATTGTCATGTTTATGGTTCCTCTGGTTGTTAACGTAAGTTGCACCATTGCTTCTTTTCACACTTTTAAATTCACAGTAAAAGAATCATACATTATTTGGTATTTTTTGGCACTCACAGTACAGAGTGTATAACACTTGCATAGAAATGAATTCTTCGTTTCATCATAATCTTAATTGCAGATTGGACATATTTATAAGTGCTCCGATCTGCTCCTAAGCACATTCTTTAGTGCTTTCACTGTCTCTCCATGTGGGTTTGGGGCCACATTTTGGGGGGAAACAAGATTAGACCCACTGCCTGCACACACACAAAAAACATGTCGTAAGAGCTGACTAAATTGGGAGCTTCCTTCGAAGTCACAGTGCATTTTCCCGAGCAGCAAGGAACAACCGAGCGTATATAAAACGGATGTAGAGGCAAAACTCTAGCTCTGGCACAAAGCCAAAGTCCAAATGGATAAACAACCGGAGTTCACAGGAGTTTGCATGGTTAACTCCTGTTCTGTACTTGTTCAGTAGATATCACTGGGCACATCAGGCCAGTAACATTGTAAACCCCTCCATGTGTGCCTGGCCTGGAACAGATAACTCTGGTGAGAGGATAAAATCAAGAGATGGACAGACAGGAATCTGTAGGAAGCTGCAGCCATAGGCAGAGAGTTTTGGAGACCTGATCTTTATCCTCTTCATGTCGCAGTTGACACATAAGGCATTCACAGTTGATCTCCATTGCTGCCGGTCTGCTGCTTTTCTGCCCATGGTATCCCATGTCAGTTTACATTCCTCCATTTCCATTTCTGTTGTCCTTCCCCAGGTTTCCTTAGGTCGTCCACATCTCCTTTTCCCAACTGCTGTCCACCCGGAGAGCTGTTTTTGCCAGAGTGTCACAAGGCACTCTGCAAACATGTCCAAGCCATCTCGATCGTCTTAATTTGATGTCATGACTCTGCTCGAGTTATCAACGCTGATCGTAGTGAGTTTATTGCAGAGGGTAGAGTTCCTTGTCTAAAGCAACACAGAGAATGCACAGTCTCTGGTTAGACCCAGCAGCAGATTTTATGCGTTCGTTAAAATCGCTAAATTACTGTAGTATAGAGGTCTTGTCATGGGAGACTGAGTTTTGGATGTTCTAAGGTTGTAAATATGCCTCATAAAATGATGCTGATCGGACACAGCCACGGCGACACCCCAGTCACCTTTGCAGAAATTGTTACAAATCCCTTGACTGGTCTTGACTGGTCTTTGCTGGTGACAGACTTCTGTCTCTCTTGTACTCTCTCTCTCTCTCTCTCTCTCACTCACTCTCTCTCTCTCTCTCTCTCTCTCTCTCTCTCTCTCTCTCTCTCTCTCTCTCTCTCTCTCTCTCTCTCTCTCTCTCTCTCTCTCTCTCTCTCTTCACACCTTCTGTCCTTTGTTTTGTTTCCTCACCCTCTTGTTAATCATGAAATTGTATGAGTGCATCTTCATTATCTTTTGCATTCAATGTCTTTTTTTTTTTTTTTTTTTTTTTTTTTTTTTTTTTTTTTTTTTTTTTTTTGATTATGAAAAAAAATTGCTATTATAGAGTTAGCGGCTGTGGTGTAGCGGCTAAACCCTCACCTGCAGATCGAAAGGTTGTGCCTTCAGGCCCTGACGGAAAGTGATTTTTTTTTTAAAATGACCTGGGTCCCAGTTCGATCCAGCTTTGAGCAGGTACCAGGTCAAGTCCTGGGAAGTAGAGGGGGGCTGTCGTGATTCTGACCACATCACCCACCGAGTGCCAATTGGTCAATAGAATACAGGTCTAGCCCTGTATGCCCAGTACTCCCATAGGTGAGGGCAAGTGTTCTCTACTTTATTAGATTATAGAATGGATATCTGAAAATTCCTACTCTGGAATTTTTTCTGAATGTTTTTTTTTTAGTCTTCTCTCTGATTATTATTTTTTGTTTAATGTAATCTTTTTGCCAATTCTGTTTGCATTTCATGAGATTTCATCATTTGATACTACCCACATTGAATAACTTTTACATTTCCATTTCCTTTGCAGGCCATTGTGTTTTGGGTAGTTGACAATTTCCTCAAACAGTCTATACAGAACACAAAGTCCATCTACATCAACTCCAGCGTCAATGAGGGTCGAGTGAAGTATTTCCACAACTCGGACTCCCTAAAATGCTACAGTCGGATAGAGCCCACCGAGGATCCCGACTGTGATATGTTGCTCTCCGCTGAGGATGACGTGGAAGCCAGACATCGAACCACTGATTCCTTGGATCGATTCACAAGATGATAGTCCGTATTAGTGTTAGCTAAGAAAACTTCATATATCACCTCATTCTCTTGTGTTTCAAATTTGTAAACACATTTGTGCTCTTCTTTAGAATATTGCAACTAAGCAGACGTAGGAGTTCTCCCTGGCATAGTCTTCAAGCCGTTTGCCTTGAACTCTGCATCGTTTGGGTTCACGGGTGGAGTTTTTAATGGCGACCCCTGGGGATCATCACTGGAGCTACAGTGTTCATGCTTTGTGTGACACTCTTGGCAATTGGCCAGCTGTTCCGTGCGGAGAGACCCAGCCATATGGGATAAAATCCCAGTGCAGCGAAGTCAATCCTCTCAACTCTAACCTTTAACCTTAAGGTACTAAACAGAAATTCTGCGTATTGTGTTAGACACGGTATATTTGACATGTGGAAGTTACTTTTGTTCTTTTGAGCAACGTGGCAGATATGATGGGTACTTTGATCGCCCAATCCATGATGCCATGTTATACCAATGTAGTGATATCTGCTGTAGAGTTAGCCATCATGGTTATGAATGTGAACTGTCTTGGCACACCCACGCACTTATAACAACTCAAGTATTGATGCTGCGGCACCTGATGCCATGAAAGAATATTTGTTCATACATGACCTTTGAACCTTGTGAGAATCACAACTGTTGCTCCTCCTCATGTGAGTTCCCTGGCTCCATTGGAGGGGGGTTGGAGAAAAGACCCACTGCTTACCTAAGCATGATAAAAGTTGAATAATTAGGGCTGTTTCTTTTAAAAGTCAGAGTGCATCTGCCTGAGAAGTCCAGAAGTAGACAAACAACTAGAACTTTGTGTTGAAGTTTACAGCCGGTGAATGGGAATGAGACAACTGTTATATTGTTACTCCGGTTGTACCGACATGACAGTATTGTTTCTCTCACCCGCTAATGTTTGCTCGCTGACACTTTAGGAGCACCCTGGCACTTGACTTTGTATGACTGTGCATCATTGAAATTGACACATTGTATTTAGACGTACACCTGTGTGTATTGTACATTTACTTTTTGTGATTAACTCCAGATGCTTTGGCATTTGTGGCTTAGTTGTTGCAATCACACTCTGAAATTCTGATGTGCCTGGTTCGATTCCAGCTTCGGATGATTTGACAGCAGCTCTTGTGTTAATTTTAAAAGAGGTGTCGTGAGCCGACTGTTTAGTAAGTAATGGCAAAATACTGATTGTAAAATTGTCCAGTAAAACAAAACAGCTAACAAATGCTGGGGCTAGTTTTGCAACATGATACGCAACTAACTTACTAGCTTAACTCCAGATGCAGACTGAGAGAAGATCTGGCTTTCATTGAACATTATGCTGTGTCCTAATCTGCACCACTGGGTGGTGAATTGATACATGACAAGGCAGGTGTGGTCAGGGCTTTTTGGAAACAAGCAGCGGAATCAGTAGAGAAACAAGATTATTATGGCTTGGAGCAGTGAAACACCTGGGTGTAATCAGAGGGTCTGGCTGGCTCACTACACTCAGAGGAAAGGCAAGGCGGACATATAACCAGATTGTGACCGGTACCATCAGTATTGGAACTCTACGTTGGCTGCTTAAGCTGAGGACGGAGCACACATGGGAATGCCCGGAGTGCTGTGATGTTAATTCTTGACTCAACAATTCAACTCAGCTCTGTCCCAAGGAAGTAGTAAGTACAGGTGCCAGTAAGCCCTGCTGCTCCTTCTACGAGAACTGTTTTATAGACTAGCCACCAGTTTGTTTTCACATGTTTAAAATGATTCTGTGTCCTCTTTGTGTCAGAGAAACTGCACTGGCCTTCCTGGCATGCACAGAATATCTTATTAGGCCCATATTTTTGTATACCTGGCACACAAGATGACTAAGCCAGTGTCGCAGCCACCCTGGCAATGCAAGACCGATCTCTAATACTCTGCATCTGGCTGGGTAGATTCTAGATTTGTGCTGACACTAGACCAAAGAATTATGCATGATTACATCAGCGGTCCTGAAACCCCATGTTTCAATTACGGAAGACTTTTCTTATCACAGGCTGCCACCTGTACCAACAAGCTTGTGCCAAACTTAGCTCATATTCCATATTGCCAAGTTTTAGCTCAGTTATTGTAGGTGAACATGTCAAACAAATGCGGTAAACCACTTGACATGACTTGTCGTATTGTTGAAGGTAGTATGTACCATCTTCCTTGGGATGTTTGAGCATTGTTGAATGTAATATGTACCATCTTCCTTGGGATGTTTGAGCATTGTTGAATGTAATATGTACCATCTTCCTTGGGATGTTTGAGCATTGTTGAATGTAATATGTACCATCTCCCTTGGGATATTTGAGCATTGTTGAATGTAATATGTGCCATCTCCCTTAGGATGTTTGAGCATTGTTGAATGTAATATGTGCCATCTCCCTTGGGATATTTGAGCATTGTTGAATGTAATATGTTCCATCTCCCTTGGGATGTTTGAGCATTGTTGAATGTAATATGTGCCATCTCCCTTAGGATGTTTGAGCATTGTCGGATGTAGTATGTGCCATCTCCCTTGAGATGTTTGAGCATTGTCAGATGTAACATGTGCCATCTCCCTTAGGATGTTTGAGCATTGTTGGATGTAATATGTGCAATCTCCCTTGGGATGTTTGAGCATTATCAGATGTAGTATGTGCCATCTCCCTTAGGATGTTTGAGCATTGTCTGATGTTATATGTGCCATCTCCCTTGGGATGTTTGAGCATTATCAGATGTAAAATGTGCCACCTCCCTTGGAATGTTTGAGCATTGTTGGATGTAGTATGTACCATCTCCCTTAGGATGTTTGAGCATTGTCAGATGTAATATGTGCCACCTCCCTTGGAATGTTTGAGCATTGTTGGATGTAGTATGTACCATCTCCCTTAGGATGTTTGAGCATTTTCGGATGTAGTATGTACCATCTCCCTTAGGATGTTTGAGCATTGTCGGATGAAGTATGTGCCATTTCCCTTGGGATGTTTGAGCATTGTTGGATGTAGTATGTACCATCTCCCTTTGGATGTTTGAGCATTGTCGGATGTAGTATGTGCCATCTCCCTTTGGATGTTTGAGCATTGTTGGATGTAGTATGTGCCATCTCCCTTAGGATGTTTGAGCATTGTCAGATGTAATATGTGCCATCTCCTTTAAGTTGTTTGAGCACTGACTGCAGTAAACTGCATGTTTATCCCTCTTCTGCCATCTTTTCTGAATAAATTATTTTTCTTTAACTTTTCTACGGCTTCTTCTTTTAAGAAACTGAGTCATTTAGCTTCTGATTTGGATTCCTTTCCAGCTGCCTGTCTTATGTTACTATGAGCAAGTTTCAAATGAAAACCTTAAAAGTGTAATGGAAATTACAATAACCACACCATTGTTTTGTAAACATTCAGTTTTGTTGTTAAGGATTTCAAATGTGTTAATCCCTTGACATCACAGTGCAGACAAGCATGATGATGTCATAATAACACTTTAAAGATTGCCACCCCACTTTGTACATGCCCCAAAGATCGTTCACTTTTTTTTTTTTTTTTTATCCATGAAGGGGTGTGACACCTATAGAAATGCATCAGCAAATAAAGGTCCATCATACCTAGTATATACAAAACTATATGTATATGTGTATGTATATATATGTCTGGGTGTGTTTAATTGTACATGTCTGTATATGTGTGTGTGGTTGTGTATAGTGCATACCAGCCCCCTCCCCAACAACTTTCACTGGGTACTAGAGTACTGGTCCAAGCCACTAGTGTTGTTGCAATTAACATTTCTTAGCCAACAAAATTGACACAAGGAAACCAGACCACAAATATAACTGATGCTGCTCACAGTAGGTTGAACATGGTCGATTTTGTTGTTTTGTTTTTCATCAATGGATGGATGATGGATGCATGTCTGTCAGTCCAGCAATTGTGTGAGTGGAGTAGGAAGTTTCAAAACGTCATCACTTCTGTGACCAAGTCTGTCCACGACCAGTCAGTCACACAGGTGAACATTCCTTGCTGTGTGCCAATACTCCCTAAAATATCCACGTATTGAGACTTGACCTGAATTTTATCTGCACTTTAGGGTAAGCTGACTAGTTCGAGTACGGGTTCCATCTTTTCCATGCTTGCTCTGTGTTGTATTGCTCCATCCCTAAGTGTCACTGCTCCCTATAAAATACATATATCAACACGTGACAAGATTATTATCTATCCTTTAGGATAAACTGACTGTCCCATGGGAATTTTATTTGTTATTACCAGGCGGCAGTCTTTTTTGGGGGGGGGGGGGGGGGGGGGGCTTCTGGAATATGTTTGTGAATACTGGATTTTTTGGTTTTTTGTTTACTCTTTTACCATGCGAAGCCGAAGAATCGACACTTCTGGTTGGGTCGAATTCCCCGTACATATAACTTTTCTGACTTGCCTCTCGTGACCTGTTTATGCAAGGTATACTTAATGCAGCAACTGAGTTCATGCCTGCGCAAACATTTAGGAGGTTAGGGTATGAATAAATTAACTAACAATAGCATTTAAAAGAGTTTTCCTTTGTGCTTTTTTTTTTTGCCTTTTTTTTTTTTTTTTTGAAAGCTAAGATGTCAGATTTTCTTAAAAGCCTCTGTGGTAAATAAAGGGGATAGGGTTATAGCATGAATCACCCAGTATGTAAATGTTTTTTAGACCCTTGGAGACGCATTCAGTTGAATGATTTGCCTTGTTTTTGTTTATTGATTGCTGCTTTCATATACCTTTATATGTTTTGAAAAAAAATTTGAAATGTCTATAAATATATTTTTGGTGAATTTATTGATGACCTACGTAGTAAACATTGTTTCAGATTTTTTTTTTTTTTTTAGAGTTTAGAGGTTTACTTGATATATTTGGATAATAGTTTGTGAATTGGCCAGTTCAGGAGGTGAGGAGCTGCTCTGGCAGGACATGCATCAATAACTCATTCCTCGTTCAGAGCAGGGAACGCACAAGAAATCCATGTCCAACCCAG